CATGTGTTCCACTAAATGGCACCGTTTGGCAGCACGACTTTTTACGCAAGCTACGCACACGGCATTCAGTAAGCAAGTCTGACGTGACCAGGCGTACGTCTAGAAAACCAAAACAAAAAAAATGGCGTCCCATCGGGTACACCGATTGAAAGTTTGGCTTCATTTGAAAGAAGAGAACGATGGCAACAATTCATCAAATCATTGCAAAGTGGCAATAACATCCGCGGGAGGAAATCCATCAAACATGTAGAAACACCTGCGCACACAACATGTTCATACATTTTAACGAATGCCGTGTTTTTGATGCTTCCGGACAGAAGCTAAAGTTACGATCAGCATGGAAGACATGCTGATCGTAACATGCTTAATGTGGTTCCTAGTAAATCAGAAGTCATTTCTGGAAATAAACCCATTTCCTACTTTTCTATTGGGTTATTAAACATGCTCCTCATTTCAGGGAGTGAGAGAAAGGTGACGCTCGTTTATTTAAATCACGGATGCCTTCTCCATTAGATTTAGATGACTGTGACGAGACGGGAAGCCTGGCTGGATCAGAGGCTGGAAGCTCCCGTTCACTGCCTTCTGTTTTTGCAGAGGCAGGCAGGAATAGAATGTCGCAGGCGAAGGTAGACGAATGTCACCGAATCGATAAAATAATCCATAAGTAAACTAATCGTTTCACAGAATCGATAAGAGAATCAGAATAGTGAAAATCTTATCAATTCCCAGCCCTACACAAAAAAGCACGATTATCCACAATTAATCCAGTTCTTTGGTTTTAGCCTTAAAAAGGAGAGAACACCAATCCAGTTTATAACATTCAGGGTTCAAAAAGTTAAAAATTATGAAAACTGGGACAGTGATGATGTCAATATTTATATAAATTATGGTATATTGAAATAATCGTCATTTATTTATTATTCAATGAATCGTTAACTGGAGTATAGAGACTGTGAAACGTGTCTTTAGCTCACAGAGTGATCCACCTGAAGAAGTTATATCAAAATTGTAAAAATAAAACGTAAACATTTTGCATTTAACATAAAAATAGTGTTTCTCAAGTGGAAAAATTTTAGTTTCATCTGGTTTAAAGTCGTCATTAAAGAACATTTTACTTCTGATTATTAATCGATTCATAAATAATCATTAGTTGCAGCCCTAATATAAAAATATATTTCACTATTGATAAAAAAAAAACAGCTAAAATTGCTCCTTGGCTTCTGTTCAAGAAATTGCAAATAAAATATATAATAATTATTATGTATTTAGAGCCAGTTTAGGACAATGGAGGAAAACTCCAATTAATGACCATAAATAATAATCATCGCTTGCATTTAATAACCTTCAGTTAGTTTCTGTTTTTTTATCGTTTTACATTAGACGTAGTAGATTATAGTAAAATGAATTTCTCATGTAGGATGCTGCAGACCTTTCTTCAGTTTTTAGATGGCAGGAAGGAAGCAGTCAAAGGCTGCAGCATTAAAAGGATTTCTAATTCCTGTCTGGGTCGGTAAATGTCCGGGGAATTGCCTCAGCCTCCTGTCATCTGCCTTTTGCTCACCTGGATGTTTAGGCTGAGCTTTTTCAGACGCTTCAGGAGGGCCTCTTTGTTGCACGGCACAAATGCTTCCATGTGCGAATAGATGTCTGAGCGTTTCTCTGGAGGCTGCTCCTGGACCTGCAGCTCAATACTGACAGAGATTCCAGCTGGTTAGAGAAAGACAAAAAGAAAAAGAAAAGAGCGAGCAGCAGAAAACAGCAGGGTGGGAGAGGTGGATGGGTGAAGAGCAGCTGGAGGTGGCAAAGCGGGATGAATGGGAGAACTAATGTGTCATTATAACAGACAATAGGAGAAAGAGGCAACAAAACACTTCAAGACAGCAGCAGAGGTGACTGGGGAAATCTGCTGAGAGAGACTGATAAAAGGAGAAGGAGCTGCAATCGGACTTGAGGGTGATTTAAAAGCTGTCCTACTCACTCCAGGAGAATGTTATTCATGTCCAGGGTGAAGAATTTCTTCCTGCCCTCCTGATCAAACTGCCGCGATGCCTGAGGAAGAAAAACTCGTCAGCATAAAGCCGTGTTTATCTGGAAAAACAGCTCACAGGACTAATTCTCATAACAGACCTGACCTCCTGAAACTACGACGGAGTATTAGCGTACTAGAGATATCAGCGAACGTATTTAGAGAAAAAAGTCGTAATGCTACGAGAATAAAATCGTAATGTTACAAGAATTAAGTCGGATTGTTACGAGAATTAAGTTGTAATGATACAAGAATTAAGTTGTAATGATACCAGAATTAAGTCGTAATGTTACGAGAAAAGTCGTAATGTTACAAGAATTAAGTCGTAAAGTTACGAGAATAAAGTCGTAAAGCTACGAGAATAAAGTCGTAATGTTACGAGAATTAGGTCGTAATGTTACGAGAATTAAGTCGTAATGATACGAGAATTAAGTCGTAATGATACGAGAATTAAGTCGTAATGATACCAGAATTAAGTCGTAATGATACCAGAATTAAGTCGTAATGTTACGAGAATTAAGTCGTAATGTTACGCGAATAAAGTCGTAATGTTACGAGAGTTAAGTCGTAATGTTACGAGAATTAATTCGTAAAGTTACGAGAATTAAGTCGTAATGTTACAAGAATTAAGTCGTAATGATACGCGAATTAAGTCGTAATGTTACGCGAATTAAGTCGTAATGTTACACGAATAAAGTCGTAATGTTACGAGAGTTAAGTCGTAATGTTACGAGAATTAAGTTGTAATGTTACGAGAATTAAGTCGTAATGTTATGAGAATAAAGACAGAATGTAATGAGAACGAAGACGTAATGTTATGAGAATAAAGTATTATTGTTGCGAGAATAAAGTTGCATTGTTACGATAATAAAGTCGCAACGTTACGGGAATAAAGACGCAATGTTATGAGGATAAATTCGTAATGTTACGAGAATAAAGTCGTAGCATTATTCAATTCAATTCAGTTTATTTATATAGCGCCAATTCACAACACAAGTAATCTCAAGGCACTTTACAGTTACCAGAAAAAAATCGTAACGTTACGAGAATAAAGACGTAACGTTACGAGAATAAAGTTGTAATGTTACGAGGATAAATTCGTAATGTTACGAGGATAAAGTCGTAGCATTATTCAATTCAGTTCAGTTTATTTATATAGCACCAATTCACAACACAGGTCATCTAAAGGCACTTTACAGTTATTAGTCGTAAGTTACGAGAATTAATTTGTATTGTTATGAGAATAAAGTCATAATATTATATAGTCGTATATTTATTCTCATAATTTTATCACTTTATTCTCATAATGTTACGACGTTATTCTCAAAATAGAAAAAAAAAATCTCTAGCCTGGCCCTATTACTCTGTTGTATGAAACCAATCACAGAAGGTAATAGAACCCCCGCCAAAAAAATAAAAAAATCAGATTAATAAAAAATAAAACTAATAAAAACTAATAACTGAAATGTTTCTGGGGTTTTTTTCGTCCAGTCTTTCTGATTTCTTACTGTTCTCATTGACCCCTGCAGATCTTTATCTAAAAGTAAAAAAACAAAAACGTCTGAGGCTGTGAGATGTAAGAGCTTCACCAAGCAGGAAGAGTCCTTGCTTAGTTACAGAACAGCCCAGAGGACTTCAGCTTGAAGACCTAGTTTAATGTTCCTTCAGATTATTCCCTGTGGAAGAAATCAGCAACAATAAACATTGTGAGCCTCCCTGGTGGCATTTCTGTTTAACTTCAGAGAGGAAGCCTCACTGGTAATTGCAGCCACCCACTAGAAAATGGCAGCTGACTCACCGCCCGCAGGTCCTCGATGCGTTTAATTAGAGGAGCAGGCAGTCCATCAGGCAGCGGCGGCGGCGAAAACAGTCCGCCGGAGGACCCCGGCATTCGCCCCTGGCCACTACCCCCACACACTGCTGCTTTTTGGGATGGAAGGCCAATACCCAGAATGCCGTTCTCTCTGGCCGTCACCACTGCATGCTGCTGGTCCGTGTCCAACAAGTTAAAGTCCAGATCTCCCAGGAGGTCCTGCAGCTCCTTCTCGTTTGCGGAGCCCAGCAGTGACATGATGGTGGGGTCTGAGGTGAGGTCTGTGAGTGAGAGGTCGCCGGTAGATGTACCGCCCTGAAGGTGGGTGGAGTTCGAGGCTAAGGGGAGGGATTTGGTGTTTACAGAGGGAGGTTTACTGGCAGTACCAGCTGCCAAGCGGAGGGGATCCATGTTGGGGTTTCTTTTCTTCATCTCTTCTTTTTCCCGGGTGAAACGGCGGAGCATGGCCGCCAGGTACAACGAGTCCTTCATCAGTTTCTTTCTCTTCTTCTTCTCTGGTCGGTGGAGGTTGAGAGCTTGGACACTGTTGAATAAAAAAAAAACATTTAAAAACATATATTACGTTGCTTCACTCTCAGCAAATCATTGCTCTTATTTATATGACACCATCATTTCTCCAAGTAACAAAGAAGTAACAAACGGGAAGGTGGGAAGTGTACGGCGGATACATTATTTTATTTTTTTTGGATAAAGTCGTAACATTACTAGAATAAAGTTGAAAACCCATTTCATAAAGAAAGCTTCGAGCTATGACCAGCAAATGACGGCCGACCAGCTCCACCAATCAGCAACCTGAGTCCACTTTGACATCCTGCCCAGTTTGATGCTGCTGCTATAAGATTTCCCGATTTGTCAAACTGATGCCAAAGTATAACGTCACATGATTCTCCACATTCCTCATTTTAGGGAAGACAGAGCCTTTTGTAGAGGTCATAAAATGCATCTTAATTCTCGTAATGTTACAACTTCATTCTTGTAATTTCACAACTTCATTTTCCTAATGTTACGGCCTCATTCTCCTAACATTCGACCTGTTTTTCGTAACGTTACGGCTATTTTCTGGTAGCGTTACAGCTATGTTCTGGTAGCGTTACAGCTTTATTCCGGTAGCGTTACAGCTTTGTTCCGGTAGCGTTACAGCTTTGTTCCGGTAGCGTTACAGCTTTGTTCCGGTAGCGTTACAGCTTTGTTCCGGTAGC